TTATGTTAAGAAAGAGTGCAGCTGTGTGAGCTTCCTACTTTGTGATGATCTGCTGGGATTGGCGGTGGTCGCTCTGCCATGGTTGATTTGACGTTGGTATGGTAAATGAGGAGCCCTTCATCATTCTACCTGCTCACAAGCTTTATGGAGATGCTGATTTCTTTTTCCTGCAGAGTTTAGCAGGTGTCCGCAGCAGCAAAACTAAAGGAAACGGTTTTCTGGTCACCCTGAACGCCACAGCGAATCCACGAAAGTCACTTCACCCAAAACTTCAGTTCACGATAACCAGAACTTCAGTAACACCTCAGCAGCTATGAGCTTTTCTCCTCCGTGCTTTCGTTGTGTTCCTTATCCTTTTCTACTGTATTTGCAGTTCTTTACTCTTCTCTGTGCTTTCTGTTGGGTTTGTGTCAGTAAATACTGAGCTTGCTGTGAGCTGCCGACAGTACACCTGTGCTGACTGTATTTTTGCTTTCACTTCAGGCTGTTCGTTCTGGCACTAATGAAACATTAATTACATGTAACAGCGCATTAAATACGAAGTGTTTTCATGCTCTCTTCTGTTCCACACAGACACTTTACTCTCACAGCATCTTTACCCAGCAGACTTACAGTACATTAGCTGTAGATGTGGAGTATTTTGACTCTGTGGCACTTCATTACAGCGTGAGGATACCCGTCTAACCCTGGAATGAATTTACTGAGATATTTGCTGCTGAATAATAGAAATCTGGTCTGAAGTCTGTCAGATCAAACGTAAAGAAATAAGGGTAGAGGAAGAAACGCAGACCTGTTGCTCTTCCTGTTGGCTCGCTGGTTTGTCCCTCGCAGGTTGTTTGATTCCCGCTCTGCTCCGTCTGACTTCTCCTCCGTCTGCTCACCGACTGATCTGCACACGCTCAGATGCCTCCCTCACTCACGCCCTCATTCTCATTCTTCAGCCGTGCTCACTCGCCCTGAAATGAAATCATGTCTCTCTCTCTCTGTTAACCCCACCCTCACCCTCACACACACACACACACACACACACACTATGTTTGTCTTTCTACCTTTGTGAAGACCCGTGTTCTCATGTTGCTTGTAGAGGTCTGAAAGCCTGATCTAGAACCAGAACAGAACCCTGAAATTGGTTTTGAAGGTCCAAGACATTTAAAACCTGGACCCATGAAACAAAACCAAACGTGCTCACAAAGCCCAGAACTCACATGAACAGACATACGAGCCCCCACCCACACAAAGTCACAACATGATTCAGGTTGTTTGGACATTTGAGGGCACCTTCATTCTCG